TCGCGCACGGCCTTTCCGTGGAAGGTTTTTGACATGTTAGCTCCGTTCTTCAAAGGGCCTTACCGCCGGAGACGGAAATCCGTGAGGTAAGGTGAGGTGTGCATTTTTAGGGTCGACCTTTTCTAACCCCACCCCTCCTTGTGGGAAGGCAGCATCGCTGTCATGCTGGTTGTCTGAAGGAAACACCTTACTGCTGTCACACCTCTGTACAGTCAGCAGTACGACTTCGCCTTCGGACCTTAGGTTTGTTGCTTTTAGTCTTACCGCTCTTCAACCGACCTGTCTGACATGGTAGGACCTTGCGGAACGGTTGTTCCAGCCAATATAGCTCGGTTGCTTCATCACGATAGGCTAGCCCGACCACCACGTCAAGGTAGCAACAGCGGTCGGGATGGAAGAGGTTTACCCTCAATAGTGTAACGGTAACTATTACCGTGACCGATGTGCATTAGCACACTCTTCCTAGCATTGATTTCTAAGCCCCACTCTCGAGCCCATCTAACTAAATCGTCTAAGTCAGCTTGAAGATCCAGATGATCAGCCGCATGTGATCTCGGTTTTTGAAATTGTTTAGAATGTCTCAAATGATCACTCCTGGACGGAAGGAAGGAATAAGACATTAATATCAAGGTCATTGTTCAGTATGCAATAAGCCAATGTTAGATCACCCTGTATTCTACGGTTGAGGTATCTCAGTCTGTCTTCGTAATATAGGTCAGACTGACCTTTTACCGCCTTAGTCTCTCGTCATTGGACGCGTTCCAGCATATCTGCCTCATACATGAAACAAGGACTCGCTGTTCGAATCCCATATTTCAAATGCGGTCTCACGATTATCTTTTATAATATTATAAATGTTTCGGCGAGACCAACTCATGGACGACCTTGAACGAATTTTAAGTGACCTTTAGAATATTAGTCAATCAGCGAACAGTAAGTATTGAGTAAAAATATATTATACAAAACCAAGGAAATATAATGGATACACTTCTTATACGTGGTTCAGAAGCTTGTTAAGGTTAGAAAGAGGTTCAGAGGTCCTAAAATCGTAATGCATGCAGTAGAGAAAATCATCCATACGGCTACAGAATAGTCGGCCTCTGAAGCCATGACAAAGTCTCAAAAACTCTTTCAGCCTCAACCACATCGTTTCAATATTGTTTATGTGCACTTCGGTTGTTGAGTACACAAAATGCTACTTGTGGATAACGACACGATGCATATAGCCAAGCCTATGTAGGAGTCTGTAGGTTCTCCAATCATCCATATATATTGTAGTATCTGATTGCAGCCAGTGTTACTGGTACTTTTATTATCCAGTTCCCAATAATTGTCATAGTTTGCCTCAGTTAGGAATTGTATATGGGGTTTTCATCACGAACTGACATCAGCTATAATGCCAGAAATCTATTTAGCCAAATGGATGAAAGGCTTTCGGGCCCAAATCCGAGATCTGTTATCTTATACTTGATTGGTTCGTCCACAAATTATAGTCTCGCCGTTCTATTTATTATAGCCGCTCAATTATCACGTTTTGTATAAAATCCCCTGTGAAACGATCGTACGTTAGCATTAAGCACCGAAGTTGGCGCCGTAAACTTGAGATCTCTAAAACGCTTCTGATTGACTCGTCCATAAATTAGAGTCTCGCCCAGCTGACTAACAAGGCAAACTAGTCAATCCGTAACTGCCCGTTTATTGCAGACGGCTAAACGTTTGCACAGTCACTATCAAGTGGTTAAAGCTAGTCCTACTCGTTATCCAAAGCGTGAATGGGCTCTAACATGTATCCGCACCACGTGGATTCAATTATGAGCCTTTTAACTTCATCCTTAATGTATCAATTTGGTACTGAAGTTATCATGATTGTTGGCACCAGACCTTCCATCCAGTTGGTCTTCAATGAAGGAATTAAATTGTTTTCATTTGAATTATAGAGCCTCAACTGAGTCTTGGATCTATATATTTCGTAAATAGACCCACAGTCCCCTGGGTTCTTTTCCTGTGATCGGACTTTGCTCATTATCATTATGGTTGCCCCCGACCGTTGTCGCTATTTTGACGTGGTGGTCGGGCTAGCCTATCGTGATGAAGCAACCGAGCTATATTGGCTGGAACAACCGTTCCGCAAGGTCCTACCATGTCAGACAGGTCGGTTGAAGAGCGGTAAGACTAAAAGCAACAAACCCAAGGTCCGAAGGCCAAGTCGTACTGCTGACTGTACAGAGGTGTGACAGTAGTAAGGTGTTTTTTTCAGACAACCAGCATGGTAGCGATGCTGCCTTCCCACAAGGAGGGGTGGGGTTAGAAAAGGTCGACGCTAAAAACGCACACCTCGCCTTATCTCACGAATATCCGTCTCCGGCGGTAAGGTCTCAATAAGTACAGAGCTAACACAAAAATTGACCATAAAAAGGTCGTTTGTGACCGACCTCAAGCAGTTGTCCCTTGGGCACTGCGGTCACGCTCTCAGGTCACTAAGACCACCTTTAATCCAATTTCCTTTTCAGGTATCTCCAGAACAACCCTTCCACGGTGTGGGGAACCGGAGAGTGATAACCACCCTCATACCTCTAACAGCACTCAAGACCACTGTTATGGTTGCCAGATCACTTATCAACAGTGCAGTAGGGTAAACATTTGAAAAATTCGTCCACGAAACAAGATGAAGTGGGATCGGGAAACATTCAGTCATCACTGAATATAACAAGTACATATGAATCCTCACCATTTGGTACACTTTAAATACATTTTCCTGTTCTTTCGCGGGTCACAGAATATTGGCAATTGTTAGCTGTAGGATCGTTACATTTTCCTACAGTGTTTATGACCTAAGGAGCTCTAGCTAACTCGATTAGTCGCTCGTAGGATCACCGCATTAAGGTATTCACTTGTAAATACATGTATTGATCAGTGGGATAACTATACAAATACTGGCAAGGTAAATCTGTTTGTTCACCATTAAATATATGTATGTATCTCGTGTTGGGATCATCTACCGTCATATTTTCAGAGAACTGAACACTATCCAGGCGTTTTGCAGCCTTAATAGTACAGGTTTATCCTGCTTCGCGACTACATAAACACTAAAAACTGACGGGCCGTTCGTGCTATATTGATGTATTATTTCTGACCTACTTCGCTTACACAACTGTTTTACCCATTATTTTGTGATTGTGATGTGTATTATGTACAAGGAACACGGGGAGATAAAAAAAGTAGAAAACAACCACCAATGTCTATTATTTAAATTGACCAACAAGCCAATTTAGCATATGAGTGACCACTAAAATCTGTCTGGACAATGACAAACCATTAGCAGTATTATTAGTAGACGTTCGAATACATAGGGGACCTTAAGTTCTTCCTATTAATGTAGCTCACGCAGTACAACAGGCCATTAAAGTGTTCCACAAGGCAGTGTAACTTAAAACACTAAGGCTCAAACATCTCATGCCAAGATGCCATTAGTATGTCCCCAATCAGTCTTATTGGATTTCCGGAATTTTCATTTTATGCGTTTTTTAAGACTTGGTTTCATGCATCAGTAACGCTTTGAAAAGATCTATGATCAAAGTTAATTGGCTGTCACAGGGGTACCGCAGTAGAAAGCCAACTATTATCAAAATAATTACCACTTGACAAACACAAATATCCTATTTGCACCCCTAACCAATCTTATGTATCTATGCTAACATTTATTCAATCGCCAACTTACCAGGGCTGATAGCACCCCAAAGACAAGTAATGAATCAGCTCACTCGACTATCTGGTTGCTTGTAATCGGGTTAGGTATTGATGCAGACTGGTATTGCAGCTATATTTCATGTTTAAAGGAATAGGAACGCATTCAAATAGTTTTTGCACCCTTATTCAAAGCATTTGAGAGGCTCAATGTTCTACCAATCTCTTTATTAAGTAATACTATATCATCTAGATCTCTTAGCTTATGAGGATTCTAAAAGGATATCTGTAAAAATGCTAACGGTAAATGGTGGAAATCCATATTCCTGACAAGTATTACTTGATACAACTAGTTTGGATGATAGTACTTCGGAAGCTTTGATTCGGTCGACACTATCGAGATTAAGCCTTTAGTCGGTTTATGTACTTCTTTGGTGCGCCTTTCAGTGATAGCTGATTTCATGGAATCTCTTGGATGCTAGTTGGATTTTCCAATTTTTTGAAGACTAGGGGGTGGAGTCCCTTTCTCCGGGACTGTAGCTCCTGAAACATTGACTTGAATTATGTTCAAAGAAAATTTAGGTTTAATAGTTTAAATTTTTGTGTGTAAATATTATCCTTTATTTTGGCGTTATTGCTTTCAAGTGAGTGTAAAAAAGGCTTCTTAACTTATTTCTGTAAAATGTCACTCAGTAATTCTCAAGCTGGTAAAGTATAAAATTTTATACCTTTAGATTGCATCGAAATACAGCAGTTATATATATGCTTAATAAGTCGTTATCTCGAAGGAAATAACCCTAAGGTTTATCACCTCACAGATTAACACACCGAAAGTTTTTGTCTTTATTTAGTAAGAAAGTAGAAAAATCCAGCATTTTAGAAAGCTGGCCACATATTTTCAGTTAACATACTTGTCATATTTTAATATAAAATATTATTACAGTAGGATTCCTGAGTAGTTCGAGAAAGAATTTGGTGAAGATATTTTAGAAATCCATCAGGCAGAAATACCGTGGCATTCATGTTGTGTTGGGTGGATGTACACTCCTTCCTAGATAGATGGGATTTTCCTGTTACCATTTCAGATTTTCAGTTTTTGATCGTGGATTATTTACTGCATAGTATCTTTCAAAGAATAGGAACTAATCTGCCACTTGAATTTTCGTATTTATTATGTTGATCTTTAGATTTACTTCTTTAATTAGTTACCAACCTAAAGTTTTTAAATATCCCCTACTTTGCCCATTTTAGATCAAGTTGCCATTGTATATTATCACTGCAAACACAGACCAAGCTAAATGATGATGAATGAACCACTGGTAATTAAAGGACTAACTGGTAGGCTTGAAATGATGTCTACTTTTGTTAAACCAGCAATGCTTTAGTTATTTACTGGGGCTATTTAAATTCGGTCCCTCTCGTTCTTCACGAAAGTGTCTGACAAAATAAACGTTTTATTTTATTTGGTTAGGTTGTTTTCATAATTAAGTGTAAATAAAGATGTTTCAGTGTTGTGCACACTGCTTTCCATCATATTACGGATTGTCATCTCACTTTACGTAGGATTTAGGAAATTTGCTAGTACCATCATTTTTTGCGACATTGATGTGGCTCATATTGTCGCACATCAACCTGTTGATAATTAATAAATCCAAAATGTCTTTTAAATTCATTTAGAACGTGTTTCGTATTTCAATAGGCAAATAAAAGTGTCCAGTTTTTTATTTCGAATCTCTAGATATACAAGGATTGTAGGATCATTTGAGTGAAATATTCAATATATGTATAGACCAGTCGCTACTGATTATGTATAAACCTTTCAGAAATCAGTTTTACACAATAGTATTTTCGTTTATTTCAAACAATTGTAGCGATTCCCGTGAGTTTGGGTAAATGTATTACTCACTTTATGTATGCAGAAAAATTGGGGAAAAAATCTGTTCTAATTTACAATGTACATCCTTTAATGGACGCGGTAATTGTTTGATAATTTATTTCAAACTGTATAGAAGTCATTGTTGAATTTCTTTAAATTATTTGGTGAAATAACTAGTTTACGCTACTCACCAGTAGGTTTTTGCAATTATTTTGTCTGGTTAACTTTTGGAAATTAATTAGCCTGAAGCTCGATGTGTCTTTGAATTTAACAAATCAGAATGTGTAGAAAAAATTCTAGTATCTCCAATGAATACAACTTACGAGTTTGAATTGACCGATGTTAACATTCCTGGTATGTTAGAATTATGTCCTAGGTTATTTTCATTATAACAGAATGCTATTTATCTCGGAATCCTGAATGGATAATAGATTATCAAAAGGCCAAAAGTGATTCGGAAGCGATTCTACAGAATTATTTCAAGAAACGTATGGAATACAGTAACAAACCTGATGATGACGGTTGGATCACGGTCAGAAAAGGAATGAGATTTTAATGCGGACTATATTTTTACTTCTGCTTCTGTAAATTTGGTTCAAATTTGTACAATAAATAGTATTTCATCATGAAGTTCATTTATGTTTACTTACTTTCAGTCATCTGTAATTTTAGATTTATGTCTTCACGGATTTTCTCTGCTTTTATTGTTAAGACAATGCAATAAATGGAAGTATTGGTAGTTCGTAACACAAAACAGTAGCCTCCAATTATTATTTGTCTTAAAACTTTGAGTATTATAGAAATAAACTGAGTTCAGACGTATCTTGTGCAAGATAATCAATTTATTACTGTTATAACTTTAATAGTTTTTTTTAATTTTAGTGATATTAATCCAAAACCTATAGTATAATAACTATTCATTAAGACGAACACAATTCTAGGATAGTGTTTGGTTATAAAATGTCACCGGGAAATGAACTCGAATAGAGCGGACGACAGGCAAATAATTTGAATATTCAGTTGGTCTTTGCCAGTAACTAGACTTTGTTATTAGCTGATAATTTACTGATACATAGTTTGGGTCGCACAGTTGATGAATAATCATTAAAGTATCAGTAATTTGAGTAAATGATTGACTGTTTTCGTCAAATTGCCATGAACCTCTACATCAAGTTGCATTATTCTTCATTTATTACACTAGTAAGCGTTTTTCGAAGCACTGTTCAATGTGGTGATGGTGATGGTGAATATCCCTTTCAAAACTCATCTTAATAGTTAGATAGGATATATGAGTGAAATTCAGCATCAGTATGATCCTGTCTCAACTGACCAACAAGCATCGAAAGATTCCATGTTATTTGAATTCGAGTAACAAGTTATTGTTCACTATTCAGAAGTATATGCGAATTTTAGATCTCCATCGGTCTATTCTATCTTAATATCTATTGTGTTCTATTTCTGGTCTGTGGTCTATACTTTATCTACTAACCCTACAGTCCTAAGGCTAGATTAAGTTAAGGTCGCTGATTTCGTGAAATAATTCTATTTCTTGTTTTCATCAATTTGAGCTCATTCAATAACGATAGTATTGTCTCGAATCTACCAACAATAATCACAATGTGATTACAGGTCTTTTGAGAGCGTGAACAAATATATTTACATTAATTGAAGAATTTTATAGTAATAATCTATGGATTTACTTATTTATATTAAAAATATCCCTCTTGTAGACGTAATGGACATCTGGCGTTTTTGCAGAACGTATCAATATTTGTCTACAATTAATTCTCTAGGATTCGTTATTTTCAGCCTTAAGGGTGACTAGCAATCTGGTTAGAACTTTAATCTAGTATCAATCACTCTAAGGGTCACAAATTTTTTTGACATGCAAAATGATACTTGTTGTCTTTTTTGGACGAATGACATTTTCTTACGAAGAGAAAATTAATAGCATGATTTATTTAATCGGATCACTTTAAAACCGTCTTGAACAGGTAGGGAGAGAGAGAGAAAGGTAATAAGGATCATAACACATTATGATCAGAAATGATGTGTTATTGTTGAATATAGACTTGATATTGTTCGTTAAATCCTAGTAGCGAAATCCACCACTCAGCAGCCGAATATACTTCCATTTTAATAACTTGTTTTTATATATAAAACGGGGATCAATTACTTCGAAGGCCATTTGACTTCGAGGTTACAATAGCTACATCTTATCCAACATCTTTCAGTTGCTTGTACTAACGGTATACTTCAGAAAGGGAGACCGAGGTGCATTATAGCTTTTTGTGTGCTTTTCTAATAATCACATACGAAATGCAATGCATTATTATATATATTATTAGCTTTATGAATAAATTTTACTAGTTTGATAACAGGATTTACTCATCATAGGCTTAGCGTGTAATCGTTGCAGTAACCACTGATCTCCAATCTGCTTAAACCAGACGACTAATACTTTTTCTTATCAAAAGTATCAAAGACGGTTGATAACTTAGCATTAATTCATTCTCTGATATCTTTCTGAGAAGTGAAACAAGAAATTGTCTAAGTTAATTTTAACTGTATTCATCAACCGGTTCTTTTCATCATTGTATAAAACACTATTTTGGTTTGAGTTAATCTGTTTCAAGTAGATAAAAAACATTTATTGGAAACGTATTGTTGGAAGAATTTCACGTAAATGTGAACTGCCAACTATGCTTGCCATGCTTCCATTTTACTTAGAAAATTATTTAAAATGTTTAGTTTAGTGCTATACCTATAAATGAGTTATATCTTGAAGTAAAAAAGAAACCTATTCTATAATGCTTATGCACTGATGTTGGCCAGTACTTCATCTTTATTTTGTTATAAATACTGGAGCGGTGGTTGAGCTATTAAGACACTTAACTTTCAACGAACAGGTTGCGGTTTTAAATCCCCTTTTATTTTCGACATAGATAGTCGGATTGTATTAATTACCTTCAAACAAACATTTCAACTCAAGGTCGGCTAAATAAGCACGTACTTGACAAGTTGAATTGACATCAACGGGTTATTTTCACAATCATGTTGGTTATTGAATGTTTATACTTGTTATGGAATTACTTTTTCAGCTTTCGTTAATCAAAGTTAAATAATGTCGTATAAAGTATCAGTAGAAAGTAGGAAACATTGTACCAATCTATCAATAATTACGAACGTTTGTTGATATTTGACACTGAAAGAAATTACACTTGAACAAATTGTCGACTACTGTGATTCATTCGTCTAACTCATAACCCTCTGATATTTAAAAGTGACAAACACTAACTTTGAGTTTCTGTATGAAGATCAGTACTGATATACAATGAGATCCATTTAACAAATCTCATATAGGGTGAAAAGTATCTAGATTTTTACTGTCAGACCTTATAAAAAGTGCAGTTGTTTTGTCTTAATGGTGATTCTTCTACATGAACGCTCGACCCGATTTTCTAACCGCTTCTAGTAACCCCAGAATGAATCTACACGGCAACCTGAACACAAGAGGAAAGGCACGAATACTGGTGATAAGGATTAATTTAACTCTTTAAGTAAATTGAAATAATTGAAGAATAAATCATATTTTATATGATTTATTTACAATGATATTAACAGTTAGATTTATATAAAATGAATTGAGTTGTAATTAACAATAATAATGTGTGAACACATTTACTATATTATACACTGATGCGTCTATAATCCTTCTTAAGACGTGACTACACATCACAAACAATTCAAAAAAATTAGTTTCATATGTCGTTTTTACTCCTATTGATTAAACAATTACGTTCCACATCACTTAGTTTTAAGTTTACTATACTAATATGAATATTCATTTGGCCTGTAACTGCGAAGAATTAGTATTTAGGTAAAACTACCACTGTTGGCATACATTCTAAGAAATCTCAGTGGTATTGAGTGCTGTTAGAGGTATGAGGGCGGTTATCACTTCCTGGTTCCCTACACCGTGGAAGGGTTGTTCTGGAGGTACCTGAAGAGGAAATTGGATTAGGGCTGATCTTAATGACCTGAGAGTGTGACCGCAATGCCCAAGGGACAACTGCTTGAGGTCGGTCACAAACGACCTTTTTGTAATTTTCATGTCATTTTCATTCATTACTTTTTGTGACCTCACCACCGGAGACGGATATTCGTGAGATAAGGCGAGGTGTGCGTTTTTAGCGTCGACCTTTTCTAACCCCACCCCTCCTTGTGGGAAGGCAGCATTGCTGCCATGCTGGTTGTCTGAAAAAAACACCTTACTACTGTCACACCTCTGTACAGTCAGCAGTACGACTTGGCCTTCGGACCTTGGGTTTGTTGCTTTTAGTCTTACCGCTCTTCAACCGACCTGTCTGACATGGTAGGACCTTGCGGAACGGTTGTTCCAGCCAATATAGCTCGGTTGCTTCATCACGATAGGCTAGCCCGACCACCACGTCAAAATAGCAACAACGGTCGGGTTTAAGAAACCTGAAATACAGTAAAGAATGGAATTAATTACTTGTAACAATTGGTCCGACTACATGATAAATTGTCCATTATATTGGTTCCGATTACGTAATAACATGAATAGAAATCCAGAGTAAGATAATTTCCACCTTACTGGTCGATAACCTAAAATGTTGATTTCTACTCCAGCTGATACCTATCAAAAAATTGTCTTCTCGGTTTTTCACAGGGATTTGTTATGCATTTTTAATAACCAACAACAATAAGAGATTGAATATACATATTTTTTCATAAGATTATGTACATTAACACAACTTTTAAGCTGTACAGTACGGTTGGTGTTGTTAAACATCTTTATTTAATGTTGATTCACAAGTTAGTATATATATATATATATATATATATATATATATATATATATATATATATATATATATATATATATATATATATATATATATATAGAGAGAGAGAGAGAGAGAGAAGGATCTGTTAATATTCTAATCCATGAAGGGGCGTGTTCTTAATATGTCTGTGTATAAGTGAATTGAAAGTGTTTGTAATGAAATTATACATTGTACCATTTCCACCATACATTGGTAATATATGTACTATTTCTCTTACTTATTCTCTGACAAGAAAATAGAGTGACAATGAGGTCAATAGTAAAGGGGAAATATGAAATGCAGCGCTGTTTCACATATACATTGACTGATATCTATTTTACTCTTGACTTATTTTGTAGAGAAAATATTATTGAAAGTTGTGTTGTACGGAGAAATCAATTAAAATTTCATTTTTGGTCAATATGATTGTGAATTAACTAAAATGGTTAAGCCCATCTCTTGATATTTTGGTTAACATTAAATTAGATAATGTATTAGACTGTCCTGCTATTGTTGTATCAATATCGTCAGTACTATTAGTAATAGTAGTAGTACCGGTGATACAAAGAAAATCCCTTGAATCCATGCTTGAGGAATTTTGATTGATTAAATTTGGTGGTATCGTGACAATTTCGTTTGAATTTTTTATTTTATTCCTTAACAAACCAGATGAAGTCGTTGTGGAAACCAGATTAAATTCACATGTTGAAGACTTTTCATTTTGTTCATGTTGATGCATACTTTCGAGTTGTTTTGTGAGTAAGGAATCTGGAACAAGGAGAAAGACTTGATAGATTTACACAACACAACCTATTCTAATATTAAATAGTTACTACAAAATAATGAATTTCATCACGCACTCCTAAAGATTTTAACTTATTCACAAAAATTAAATGTACTAAAAAAATGAATTGTAATGTGTTTGTAAATTGCATAAGTTGCGAATTTCACTATAATCATGAATCGATCTATTACCACCATTGAAAACGTGAAAGGAGTGAACGGCCGTTTCGTCCTAGTTTGAGACTTTCCAACATTGTGCATCCACGAACCATCACAGGGAACCTAGACCCACGACCTTCGGTTTCGTGAGCCAACACTCAACTTCTAGACCATCGAGTCGGCAGACAACAGTGTTAATGTCTGACTTCAATCGATCCACGACATTACGTGATTATCTTCCATTATCTCTAATGGGTAACTACCTCATACCCAATACGGATTAGCTCCGATTGCCGGGGCTTCTCACTAGGACTCTTGAAATCTCCTCTCGAAGCTAGTTACTAGTGAGCATATAATTATACGCAAATGTTTTGAAAATACTATTGCATGGTACAATAATAATCTGTGACTAAAATATTTGAGTTTCATCGCTGAACTACAACCTACTATATATATAAACAATAGATCACCACTTTTGATCTAAATGTATGTGTAACATAAAATCAGCATTTCTATAGACTGAATATGAATTTTCTAGATGGAAGTCAATAGCGAAGATTTGTATGATGACATTTTTCATGAGAATAAAGACGATAAATCGAAGAAAATCTAATATAAAAATTAACCACGTTACAATTAGTAGACGGTTCATATACAACGATAAAGGCACTGAAATACTTACCAATTTTTGTATGCCAGCCCTGTACTGCATCAAGGTTCTGTTTATCATTCTGTAAATCGGTTTGATATGCAATTTGATTTAATGTACTAACTTCTGGAATATTATGCATTTGAGGCAATCCTAAACGTTGCTGTAAAATTTGATCAAATGGGCCAGAAGGATTCGATTCAACAAAGTGTGGATTCACTTTCATATTGTCTTTAATATGTTCTAGTTGTGAGAAAAAAGGATATGAATTTGCTTGAGATTTTCGTATACTTGACTGGGAATGTTCAAATAATGGATAATTTGTATTTGAACTACTATTGCCAAAATAAGTAGTTGGACTTTGTAAAAACAAATTATTGTCTAGCTTTGAACAATTTAAACCATCTAAACTCCTTGTTTGTGCTGTTGGTACTAGCTGCTGTATATAGGGATTCAGGTTACTACTACAAGTAATATTGTTGTAGGTATTGTCACCGTTCATTATATTTTTCATAGAGTTGTTCGTTGTTAAGCTTACATTCTTCGTCAACGAATTACTATTGATTGTCATGCGGAATGGAGTTCCTGACTTTTTTCGTTTCTTCCATTTTGCTCGACGATTTTGAAACCAAACCTAAAGAAAAATTTCAATTATGTTTTAACTTTATTCTTTAAGTTTAATAGTTTGATTAAAAATAATTTTTCATTGTAAGAATTAATTAAAAGTACATAGAAGATTATTCTTCTATTAAATTCTGTTAGGTAATTATGCTGATCAAGTTCACATTTATTGAGAAGAAGATTTTATGATGATATGGTTTAAGTAAATTCAAATGTATGATTCATGTATCTATTTACCGAATTACTTGGAGTATGATTTCTTCTATAATTTTTGTACGGTTTTAAAAATTTCAATTTTATTAGTTGGTAGGTAATTTACAATAACCTTTACATTATAGTTAATTGTTTTCAGTGACACAACTATGTTCATTTTCATATTTAACATCATGTATATAATGATGACATTTTCATTGAAAAAAAAGAAAGATTTTTGCCGTTCGATTTTTTTGTCGTTTAATATTTATTTAAATGAAGGGAGCTTTATATCAATGATTACTTTTAAGTAATTATTTATCACTTAATCAAAGTCTATCGTTTTGGACGATCAATCACAGATTCATTCACAAACATACACTATGTTGTAGTGTAAGTTGGTGTTTGGAAGTAGGTTTTATTTTATTTGACATTCGTCAATGAGGTGATCCTAGAATCTTTAGATAACTGATGATCCCTGGCATATTTGACCTCGTTCCACCCACCTTCACAGTCAGAAACTTTATCATTGAGTTATTCGGGTCGTTACTCACCTCCTATAGAACCGAGATACAACAGTAAAAGACTAAACTGTCTTGTACTGCTTACTCTGGTTATATGATCAAAGTCAAATCTGATATTTGTCATCTTCGAGTTAGTCATAATAGATTTCTCAACAAATTAGACTGTACAGATGGATGTGGTTTCATGCACTTACTCAGTATCTTATCATTAATTAGGCCCCCAAATATCCTGGTACGGCCGAGAGTGGGGAGAGTCCGCTCTCCCTCTCGATATGCCCTCACATGGCCATGCGTATATAGCCTGTGCCAGAGAAGTCCTACTCACTGCCTTCTCGTGGCGGGGGTGTTGTTTACGAAATCGAGAGGACGAAAAGCGAATGTCCGGCACTTTAACCGGATTCCAAACCAATGGTGCACATTGGCTTCAGCATCCTGTGGGAACAAATGGCGTATGAACCAACTGTTGATCATCGGCTTCCATGGGACTGCACCTTCTTACGATGCTCCACTGCCTTGTGGATCAGACCTTCAGGTTGAAGGCTCGGGGAGTGGCCCCCTAAGAAAACCACCCGTGTCGGTTTGGGCACACGGGCAGTATCGAATCCCTCACACATATCAAATGAGATTTGTGTGGCGCATATGTATTTGGTGCCTCCTTGTATCAATATCTACGTGTTAAAATAAATAAATAAATAAACATTAATTAGAATAATCCTTCTATTTTTATTGCTTATTCATCTCTTTGTGATTATCATTTTATCATTTTGTTTTGTTGAGGATCAAGCAGTTTCGTTGATATTTGGCCTGTTTGAAGTGAATGTCTGAGCTCAGAGGGGAAACATCAGAAAAATTCTTATCGTAAACTAAAAACTTTTATTATCATAGGCTTTTAGGATTTGAAATCGATATGTAATTTAATTGTATGATTTTAGGTTATCCTTATGTTCTGATCTGGTTAGCGTTTTTTAGCGAGTTATTTTTCTACGGGATAGGGTCGCAATCCCCATACCCAACCCTCCTCTTTATCCGGGCTTAGGACTGGCAGTAGCCTCAGAGGGGCTTCAGGCGGACATCAAACACATAATATTTAAATATTGTTAATTAGAACTTGCTTACGTCTGTTACTCCCAATGGAGCGTAGGCCACCGACCAGCATTCTCCAGCCCACTCTCTCCTGGGCCTTTTTTATAGTTCTTTGAACAACAATTGGATGGAATTAAGAAGGAAGGCCTAGGACAGAATGGTTTGGAGAATGCTGGTCGGCGGCCTACTGTCCATTGTGAGTAACAGGCATAATGATGTTCTAATTAATAAGATTTAAGTGTTATATGTTTGATGTCCATTCAACAACCACCAAATATTAAATACGAATCGAGAATTTTTCTGGAAACAATGCATTTTAGTTAACAAGTCTCGTGGGTTCAGCACATATTTGCTTTTAGAAGCCCCATTCAATTATGTTAGTTATTATATATATTTCGTACTGACTGATGTGAAAAAAAAATGCAAATTAATAAATCTTGATTTGATGGTTCCGTAGTATCGTGATGAGTTTGAGAACCAATATGTGCAATTGTGAATATAACCGTTGCCTTTTTTATTTTTTTATTTTTTTCACAATAATTAATTAAATTCTTTGAAAATATTGTGTATTAATATAACATCTGTATTATGTACTGACTTTTATTAGTACATGTAAATTGTACACCTTAAGAAAATGTCTTAGAAACCATTTTTTTCTTATTTAAACGTGAACAAATCTCTTTTTATAACTAGGAAAATTTATCTCCAATATATATCAGGTCTTAATTATATTGATAATTATTCGTATGTTTTAGTAATAAAATATCACCATACTCACTTTTGTGTTGATATAAAGTGTAATTTTTATCAACAAAAAACAATTTTGTATTATCAATTGTGTTACTGTTCTACATTTATTATCTGAAGAATTGAATAATACTAAGTTACGAAACATCAGAAAATTTAATTTTTCTACTCCCTACTATATTAAAAATAGATTACTTTTTCACATTAGTTCATTTGATGAGAGTTGTTTGTAAAAATATCTGTCTTTATAAGCATCTATCATTAGACTATTGTATATTATTGTAAATCTTTTGATTCTCAATCTTAATCACTGAAAGGTATCATCGTAAATCTCAGAATTTTCTGTTACATTTTTTCAAATATACTACTTTTATTGATTGAATTTTTGTCAGTTAGATTTCTAACAGAAGGGGTTTTGTGGAGCTCTACTGGTCACAGCTACTCACTAAAACTCCAGGAAATGCCTCTTGAAGTTAGTCATTAGTGAGCAGATGATTATTACCAGTAGGGATTTTGTGGAGATTTTAGTAATTTCAATAGTCCGAATCTCGCGTGGCGCGGGATATTGGATGCGCACTGTTGAGGAGCCTCATAATAGGATGAAATGGCCGTCCAATGCTTTCAGGTTATCCATGGTGGTCTAGCTTCAATTAACCCATGATTTCAACTATTGAAAGATACATTTTTGTATGAAATAAACTACTGTTCAATATGCCGTTGTTTGTTTTTTTCAGCCGAAGACTTATCATTAATTGTCATCAATTCTGACTCACATTATTTATTTATTTATTGTCTTCTATCCATCCATAAATCTAAGATGAATTATTCTGTATAGGTTTAACTTATCAAATATATATATATATATATATATATATATATATATATATATATATATATATAATCAATTATATAGAACATGTGACCAGTGAAATCATTTCACTATTGACAATTATAGCCAATTTTGAGAAACTTACAAAACAATTAAAATAAAATTCTAATCGAATATCATAAAATTTCACATGGAAATATTGCAATTTTCTTGTAATCATTATATGAACTATTCTGTTTGTTTATTTTGAATTTTAACGTTATTCATGGGACAGAATAATCAATTTCAAGAAAGTTCAGTAAAAGAACAAACGATCTATTAATTCTAAAGGATAATATATACTATTTGAAATTAATTCACTTGATATTGTTTTTACTTGAATCTTCCCATTGATGTTTTACGACTGAAATTGATCAGTCTCTTATTGGCATATGTGCATACTGTGCGTATGCCTCGATATTGCCTTAATTTACAAGCATTATAAGCAAAGATGGATAGTGGCTGAATCTTCAAGTAAAAACAATATCAAGTGAATTAAACTTCACCCTATTGCACAAGCAAGTGGCTATCAGGACTCAGTAGCTAAGTGGATAACGCGATGGCGTTTGAAGCGAACGGTACTGAGTTCGAGTCCCAGAGTGAACATCAACACTGAGATGCAGGTACATCCAGCTGACAAGTCCCAAACAGGACGAAACGCGCGTCCTGGATTCCACTGCTAGCCACTATCCATCTTTGCTTATTTGAAATTAGTTACACATTACATCTTGATTTTACATAGTTAACCATTGAAAGCTAAAAAGTACTGATTATTTTTCCTTGCTTGTATAGCATGTTTCTGGAGAAATTCATACTGGAACGAAACATATATCTATTGAGTTTTAATTTTCGATAGTCCCAATGATGGATAGTATGTTATTTCCAATGAAACAGTAAATATTTTTAAAAAGTATACAATAGTCATCGCTTATAAGACAGATTAAAAATATCAAGAAATTCTATATCCTAGAACAATAAAAAGGATTTCAAAGAAATTTATCCGTTCATGAGCAAAGGACAATTATAAACTTATTCACTGGTAATCATATGACAATTATATATCATCTTTTCATACACGAAAATCTAGATAGTAGTTTTGAATTATTTTAAAACTATCTTTATCTACAAGTTGACTAAAAGTGATTTTCAGTATATGGATTTGTGGAGATTGTAATATTTTCGCAATCGAAATCTTAAGTCTGTCTAAGCTAGACCACTATTATGTGCACACTAGTGACTAGCTTCGAGAGAAAGTTTCAAGAGTCCTAGTGAGAAGCTCCGACAATTAGGGCTAATTCGTATTGGGTGTAGGGTAGTTACCCATCAGAGATAATGGAAGATAGTCACATAATGTCGTGGATTGATTGAAGTCAGACATTAACACTGTTGTCTGCCGACTCGATGGTCTAGAAATTGAGTGTTGGCTAACGAAACCAAGGGTCGCGAGTCCGAGTCCCGTATTTAGGGTCGTGGATGAGCACAGTTTAGGTGTATCACACTACGAAGAAACGGCTATTCTTTGATTCCAGGTTTTCCATAGTGATCTAACTTAAATTGACTCATGAATTCAGCTATTAATATTTATTTATTAAAGTTGAC